CTTTGGCAATAAAAGGAATGCACTCTTTTGAAAAGTTGTTCCAGCCACCATGGTCTTTCCTCCACACAGGCAACATCTGCTACCAATATGCAAACTTTTGAGGGTTCATATATGTATATGTTCTGCAACTTTTTGTTCCACTGCAGCTTCCAACTCAGCCAAGAGTGGCTAAAGCAATTGTCCAAGGCAAGACTGTCTAATCTGCCCTTCAGAAGAGTATTCTTTTTCCAAGAAAGCGTTGAGGAATGTCCAACAATCAGCCCTCAAAGATTCCACAGATCCCATCTCTCTCTCTCTTACATACACACAAATCTATCAAATACAGCAGTTCTCAGTTCAGTAGGCACAGATTTGGAGAATAGCACATATTACCCAGAAAAAAGATGATAGGTTCAATTTAGTAGGAGTGCCCTCGGTATTACACTTGTTAAACTATGCCAGGGTGGCCAAACCGTGGCTCGAGAGCCATATGCAGCTCTTTTACAGTTTAAGTGCAGCCCACAGATTCCCCTCCCCCCGCCCCCATTCTCCACCTATCAGACTGTGTGTGGCGGGGGGGGGGGGAAATACTCAGGACTTCTGCCCTGTAGTGGGATGGTGGGGCTAGAGTAGGATGACCAGATGTCCCAATAAAATCGGGACGGTCCTGATATTTAGCCCTTTGTCCCGCGGGATGCCATTTGTCCCGATATTCAGGTAAGGAAGCAAGCGGGAGGGAGGCGCTGACCCTGTGGGTGCTCCGGAGCACCCACGGGGAAAAACTGCACCCAAACTCCCCCCATCTCGCCTCCTTTTTTCCCCTTCCCCCAGCGCGCAACGTCCCTGCTCCTCCCCCGCTCCAGCGCTTCCCGCCACCAAACCATGCTTTCCAGGAGGGAAGGGGTACACGGCACGCTCACAGGAGGAGGCGGAGAAGAGGCAGGGCAGGGGCAGAGACTTGGGGGAAGGGGGTGGAATGAGGGCGGGGCAAGGGCGGAAAGAGGTGGGGGGTGGGCAAGCACTCACCCGGGAGAGGGGAAGTCAGCGCCGTAGGGGTGAGTGGCAGGTGGGGAGGCGAGCGGTGGGTGGGGGACTGAGAAGGGACGCAGCAAGCCAGCGGATGAGGAAGGGCGCGGTCGGGGGGCCGAGTGGGGAGGGAGCGGGACCGGGGGCAGAGTGGGGGCGGAGCCCGGGAGGAGCAGGGGTGGACTGTGGGCGTGGCCAATGTGTCCCAATATTTTAGTGTGGTGGTGATCTGGTCATCCTAGGCTAGAGGCTTCTGCCAAAGGCTACTGGTGCTTGCTGAGAGAGTGGAGCGATACAATTTAAAGGTTCCCCCCACCCCAGCAGCTTGAGTCATGCCCCTCCCCCCCCCTTACTCTCAGCAGCCCCTCCTTGCCATTCCCAGGTGTTAGCTCCCAGCGGAGCTAAAGCAGCGGCCCCTCCCTGCAGTTCCCAGCTGTTTGCTGCTGCCTTGCCTGGCTGGCGTGCCCCACAGGGCTGAAGCCCCAAAACCCCACTCCATGCAGGGCTGAAGCCCCAAGCCCCGGCAGGTGCCTCCCATGGGGCTGAAGTCCCAAACTTCAGCAGGCACGCCCCAGATCTCAGACTTCTGAAGATTGTCGTATGAGAAAGACAGAAGCAATAAAGGATTTATCAAATTACAGGTATCTACCAAGATATTTTTGAAGGTTGAACCTGACAGGCTAGGCGTGCTACGCACAGAAGGCAAACAGCTGAAGACTGTGTCTACGACAGACATTTTAGAAAAATCTTCCACATACTGCATTATCACCGGTGCACCTCCACCACTGGGAGCCCCAATACAGGCACAGCACTTACTTTTAAAAATTGTCTTCTCCAGTTCTGCTCAGAGCAAATCTATATCATACTGTGATAACTCCCATAGCCACCTGAGTCCTGTCTACACTAGTACTTCCTGAGTTACCACCACCCGCAGAGCCATACCAGTAATAGTGAAATGGTGGCAGATTTACAAGGAAATCTAGCAGACACAAGGCTAAGGACTTCAGCTTGAGCCCTTCTTCCTAAGTCAGCAATGCTGGGGATGCAACAGCTCAATTAGCAGAGGGAAGGAGACACCCCAATGCTGCTTTTATGCCTTCCAGCTGACTCAGAAGCAAGGCTGACAGGTTTTAAAGGACACTGAACCTAACCATACCCCTTAGCCACATTCTTTGGTCAGAAGGATGATCAAGTTCAGTTCTGGAATCAGATATGGAACTTACAGACATGGATATACATGTGCATGTGTACACACACACTTTCCCCAAAATAAAAGCCATGGCACCTCAAGAGCAGCAGTGGTGCTTGATGCCCTAACTTCTTGGGTGGCCAGTGTGATTTAGCCTTCAGCTTTATATATCGAACTGGTGTGTATATCCAATAAGTCTAGCAAAATTGCATACCTTGTTCAGCTGACAGTGTGCTTGGTGCTGTACAACATAAAGGAAAGACTTGGGTCCCATCCTAGGGAACCTACAATCTAAATGATTGTTGCTTATTCTTAAAATCTTTGTATAAACCTACCACTACTTCTACCTAGCCAGGAAATATTAGGCCTTTGCAAACTGGACATATATACTGCTGCTACACATCTTGCCTAACCAATTAGCTAGGAGCCAATAAAGAGGAGGATCATAATACTGTGCTCACTTCAAGTGAGCAATCCTGCTGAAATCAGGAGCCTTTCCTGAATGAATAGGGAAAACCCATGTAATACAGATGTTAATTTCAGAGTTGCAATTTATTTTCTCTTAATTGCTTAAAGGAAGTTGAAAAGTTAGAAGCTATAAACTGAGGAACATTACTGCACTGCATCACTGTTATTGAAGAAGTAACAACTGCCCATATTTAAGTGCATCACACAACTACCCATGCTGATTTATAAAGAAAAGATGAGATCACTTAACTGTTACAACTGCTAATATCTTAAGAGTTTGACCCACAGAAACTAGCACTCTGGCCCAAATTCTGATTTTTAAGCCCAGTGAAACTCCAGTAAAGTCCATGGAAATGCACAAGCTGTAACGCAGCAAAGAATTTGGTCCGATGTACTACCTTGCATTTTACAATTATAACATTAGCAGTGGTATTAGTTAACTGGCCTCCCTTGAAAACACACAAAAAGAGGATTGTAATACCTCTCTCTCAAAACATACTAGCTCTACCATTTACCTAATCCCTATCCATAGAATTCTCTCTTCATTGCCTTCACAATACGCTGCACGCCTTCCCAAGTCAGACATTACCAGATGTGTAAAAGGCTCAGGAATGGCACTCTGGTAGACAGAAGAACAATGCAAGAAGTTACATTTCTGGTTTCTCACTCAGAAGAGTTCAAACAAAATGCTTTAAATGAGTGCAAGATTCCTTATATAGATATATCCTTCTGTCCCCCTTTTTTGTGTGCTTGCCTGTCTCTGCCTACTCAGTGCCATTCAGGTTTGCTGATGCCATTACTGGTAACAACCGCGTTGCAAGGCCTGAGAAAGAGCATGTACGTGAGCCCTGGCAAAGCAGTCCATGAGAGTGATGTCATCATGCTATGACAGGAAACCAGAAGTACAACCACCAACAATGAAAATGACTATACACAAAGTGCTGCCAAATGCACAAACTAAGCAAATTGGAAAAAAAACCAAGACAGACAGACTGGGTTGGGGGAAATAAATCTGAGGTGTTACTACTTGTTACAAATAGGTGTCCAACTTTAAGATGAAAATTTGATTTTCAAATTGACCATTTCTCTTTAACTTGCACCTTTTGCTTATTTGGTCTTGGAAGTCTTGTATCTGGACCATGCCAACAATATTCACAGTTATCCTGTCCCTACATACCATCTCTAGATGCTCCTAATGTCCAGCAACACTGGCCTCAAGATGCTGTACCTGGGCTCTGAGGGCCACGAGCTGCTTGCATTAGTGCAGATATACACCACTTGACCACAAAGCAAGTACTCTGTGCAATATAAGACCACCTGAAAAGAGCTCTGTAGCTTGAAAGCTTGTCTCTTGGTTAAATAAAAGATATTACCTCACCCACCTTATCCCTCTGATATCGTGGGACCAAAACAGCTGCAATACTTGGAACAAAACACTGAGTGGCACCTATCCTGATTAATCCACTGCTTGCCTTCTCCCTCCATAGTTAGGGTGCATTTAAACTGAGTAGAGATGGATTAACTGTGTGTGTTTTCTTATTATTAATACTGAGGTTTAGATAGACTAAGTAATTAAATTTAGATATCTAACTTCCCTTAACGCCTAACTCTCACTGAGTCCCAACTCCCCTGTGCTCATTCTGTCTACTGCCTCCTCACTTGGTGCAGGGCCTCTCTCACTGCTTGAGAAGGGCCCTCCACACAGCCTAGCTTTGTAAATATAGCTATCTAGAACAAAGCTCAATGGCCTTTGCCATCCCCATCCTCTCCCACTTGCTTATTTACTAATGATCAGGACAGTTTCCTCATGTCAAAAAATACTTTTAATGAAGAACTTTTCCCTATTTCCCCTGGTTAATTGTTTGCTACTGGAACCCAACCTGGGACCACAAATACTTTGATACAAGAAATGTCACTAACACCTTCAAATTAGGACTTCAAACTTCTTCCTACGCACAAAGCAAAATAAATTATAATGATAGCAATTCAAGTTACAATATTCTGTCTATGTATACCAATGAAAAGCAAAAAGCAACAGAGAGTCCTGTAGCACCTTTAAGACTAACAGATGTACTGGAGCATAAGCTTTCATGGGTGAATGCCCACTTCGTCGGATGCATGTCTGACGAAGTGGGCATTCACCCACAAAAGCTTATGCTCCAATACATCTGTTAGTCTTAAAGGTGCCACAGGACTCTCTGTTTCTTTTTACAGATCCAGACTAACCTGGCTACCCCTCTGATAAATGAAAAGCAAGTCACCAAAGAACCTGCAATCAGAAAGAGCAGAAATACAAGAATATTTTTAAAGAACAATCTAGGTTTCATATAAATCTCACCTTAAATCTTTTGTCCTGAAGAACTTTCTTAATGGCCACAAGCTCTCCTGAATCACAGAGTTTGGCTTGATACACAACACCAAAAGATCCGTTTCCAATCACTTTGGTGTCTGTATAGCTAACTTCTTGTGGTCGATCCGGACCCTGTCCAGGAGTTGCCACCACCGTAGTCACTTTGCTGCCATCTTTATCTCCTGGAAAAGCAGAGAACATTGAGTTAAGAAACGTGCGTGAGTGAGAGTATCAGACAGACTATCACTGAAGATAGTTCAAAACTGAGTAAAGTTACTCTATCTTAACATGACAGGGAAGGGAAAGGAAACCATGCAAAGAAAAATTTAATATACTGTTTGGCACATATTTAGTGAGATAGAAATTGGTACACTGGTACATCTAACTTCTTCCATGCAATACAGTTTGTTATTTATATTGCTAAAACAAACATCAATCCACTTCCCAATATTTTACTGTAACTATCGCAACCAAATTGCCAATTTAACCAGTAGAGCAAGAACTCTTTCCTTCAAACATATATATCTAGCTACAAACAACAACAACTTTGGAAGTGCTTGTCACAACTCCTCAGTTAAGACTGCAATCAACAATCCATTAAGAGCCTAAAACCTTGTCTATACTGGGGAGTTCAGCCCTCAGCACCCAGACACCAGTTTAGTTGCACCAGTGTAACCCCACTACCATAGACAGACTGCACCATTGCTGCTTAACTCCATTTGAAACCAGATCAAGCTGCATCTATACAAACTAAAGTTTATAACAACTTGACCTACCTACACTAGGCATTTGCACTGCTTCACTTACACTGGTGGCTAGCTACTAATGAGCATAACCGAGATAAATTCCCAATTCAAACAAAGCCTTATTTGACAAAATGCTCCCTCTCACCCCCACACTTTTAATAGTAACAAGCTAGCCCTATACATTTTGTAGTCATTTTAGTTTAAGAAAAATAATTTTATAGAGTTTCAAAAGTTTAGGATAAATGTTTAAAGTGATTCATTTTTCAAATCCACAAGATGTGTTATGATTCTTTGATTCCCTTCCCTCAGAAACTGCACCATTTCTAAAATCTACAAATTTACATACTCATGCATAACATATGTATTAGAAAAATGTTTTTTAAATAGTAAAGTTACTCAGTGTTCACAGTTATTGGATTACTGTCAGCAAAGCTGTGTGTAAAAGTTTACACATTGTTTTACGCTCTTTAAACGTTCAGCTCTAAAATCAAATGCATAAACACGTAACGGTCTCAGTTATGAGTCAGTTTCTTTAAAGTCCCAGAAGACATTGAAGTGGTGAATAAGCCTCTATCCCTACCCTTAGCTCCCTGTGTTCTGGAAAGCTGCTAATTCTCCAGGGTCCCTGAGCTACCTGGTTATCCCCTTCAGTTCTTGCTACCTTACAAAAGCTCCTAACTCTGCAGGATACCTAACTCCCCTTCTTTATAAGGTAGTGAGAGCTAAGAGGGAGGGACAATCTAGTAGCTCAAGGTCCCAAGCAGTAAGCATGACCTTTTTAAAATGTGAGTTTGAAAAGTCCATTCACCTGTGGAAGTAACGATCTCTTCCAGGCAAATACCACCAATTTCTGCAGAATCTAGCTTTCCTTTTTCACTGCTACTACTGAGAATCCTGTGACCAGCAGCAGTCAAACATACAGAATCAGGTCAATGTCACTGTCTTGAGAATGAATGTTATTTCTCCCTTTCAGCAGTCAGAAGGGGCAGGAACACACATGAGGTTTCAAAATGATTAGCTCACCTACTAGCCAAAGGCTAGAAGAGATGGAACCACCAAGCAAAGTCTTCAGACAGCACTTGTGTTCCCTCTAAGCTGCATGGTCGCACAGCTCCCAGCAGTTAATCAAGTGGCACGCACTTCATTAGCAGAGCCGCGCACATCCAACAGTGTGCGTTCAGGTGCCCCTCCCGCCACTGCTTTGCAGCCACGTTGCTCCTGCCCTCTGCCTTGGAGCCTTGGCAAACGGTTTCCAGACACTCCTGCTTGCTGTGCAGAGTTTGGGGGGTGGGGGGAGGGGGATGACTGATGTCAGGGTGTCCCCCTCCCCGCCCACGTTCCCCATCTCCGCAGAACCAGGAAAGGAGGACAGGGCTCAGGAGCAGGAGATCAGATGCAGTCTGAACAAGCCTTCCAGCAGTGAGTGCCTTAACGAGACAGCGCACAGTCTCAGACTTCCCCAGCAGCCAGCACGCACACGCACCTCTCTAAACACACACACACACACACACACACACACACACACACACACTTGTGTTGTTGCTGTTGTTACTTCTTGGTACTTCCTGCAATGCACATATATTCTCTGTAATTTTATTGTTTCAAAGTTTGTTATTTTAGTTTTTTGACTGGTCTATGCATTTCATAATTTTTACTTCTCTCTTATGCTTAAATTTAATTCTTTGAGTGATGATTACTAAAATGCCTAACCTGTCCTGGCTGGAATAATTATTCCTATGGTAACTTTTTAAAAATATATATTATAACCAGGTTTTTGGTTTCTACTGGTGATATACATCCACACATTACCTCGATATTGGTGCACATAACAAAATTCGTTTTGTAGATAGATGGAAAAAATTAGAGGGAACATTGGACAGCACCCTGGTATGAATTCCAGTTTTCTCCTTTTCCCAAGAGCTGAAGGGGAGTTGGGGAGCACCTTGATTTCTCACTTGGGCATCACTCCTGGAAAGTGGAACTACTGATTTAGTTTAACCTTGCAACTATTAGATGTATGGTACATTTTTCAAATTCATGAAGGATGGGTGGATGTCAGGGTTTATTTTTAAAAAAAGAACCCACTAACACAAATGTGGTAGGCACTTCACTAGAGATACTTGGAAGACAGGCCCCTACCCTAAGGAGCTTACAAGAAGTAGGGGAGGAACTAGAAGTTAGAATACATTCGGAAAAAGAAAATAGATAAAAGGGTGCAGGGAGTGAGAAGAGAGGAAACAGATGATGGAGAATAAGGACTTGTCTACATGGGGGTATCAATCAGATTGCTTTGATGTGCCTTATTTAACGTGCAATATACAAGCTGCACTAATAGCGTGCACCTGGGATGGCTGTGCTCTTTCAATTCGCATCCGAATTGCACAGCGGTGGCTTGAGACATACTAAATGCATGGCATTCTCCGGGGATATCCTATGGTCCTTTGCTTCACTGCTCAGCAGTTTGCATTCAGAGATTTTTTTTCCACTGGGTATTGTGGGATGCATAGCAGACGCCAGGTGGGTTCAGATTTTTTTTAAAAATCCCATGTTTCCACCATCTCCAACCCATACTTCCTTTCTAGTTGTGCTAGTGCCATTTTTGAATTGCTATAAGCAGTATGGACCAACAATGCTCCAATGGTCCAACAATGGACCACTGTGCTGGCAACTGCAACCTTCTGAGAGATATGTGCTGAACTAACCCTGGACTTGAGGTGGCAGCATACCAATGTGTGGTGCCCCATGCTCGTGAAGAAGGGGGTTGCCAGTGCCAGCCTGAGGCTGGCCACCCCTGAATTTTAGTAGTCTGCAATAAGCCAAGTCATTTGAGGCCATCACAACTATACATACAAAATGATGGGGTCTAAATTAGCTGTGACCACTCAAGAAAGAGATATTGGAGTATTGTGGATAGTTTTCTGAAAACATCCACTCAATGTGCAGCGGCAGTCAAAAAAAGCCAACAAAATGTTGGGAATCATTAAGGAAGGGATAGATAAGAAGACCGAAAATATCACATTGCTTCTATATAAATCCATGGTATGCCCACATCTTGAATACTGCGTGCAGATGTGGTCGCCCCATCTCAGAAAAGATATTGGAATTGGAAAAGGTTCAGAAAAGGGCAACAAAAATGATTAGGAGAATGGAACAACTACCATATGAAGATAGAATAATAAAACTGGGACTTTTCAGCTTGGAAAAAAGATGACTAAGGGGGGATATGATAGAGATCTATAAAATCATGGCTGGTGTGGAGAAAGTAAACAAGAAAGTGTTATTTACTCCTTATAACACAAGAGCTAGTGGCCACCAAATGAAATTAATACGCAGCAGGATTAAAAACAAACAAAAAGGAAGTATTTTTTCACACAATGCAGTCAACTTGTGGAACTCCTTGCCAGAGGATGCTATGAAGGCCGAGACTATAACAGGGTTCAAAAAAGAATTAGATAAATTCATGGAGGATAGGTCCACCAATGGCTATTAATCAGGATGGGCAGGGATGGTGTTCCTAGCCTCTGTTTCCAAGAAGCTAGGAATGGGCAACAGGGGATAGATCACTTGATGATTACCTGTTCTGTTCATTCCATCTGGGGCATCTGGCTTTGGCCACTGTCGGAAGACAAGATACTGAGCTAGATGGACCTTTGGTCTGACCCAGCATGGCAGTTCTTATGTCATATAGGTGTGTGATGCTACTATGGTTCTGGTACTGTTGCACTGGGTTATAAAGTTTGGTAATGCTCAAAATATTGACGGCTTTGCACACATGGGATTCCCAAATTGTATTGGGGCAACTAATGGGATATATGTGTCTATTTCCCCCTCCTCCCACATGTTCTGGATATTAAAAAGGCTATTTGCTTAGCCGGAGTTCAATTTTATCATTGAGGGAGTTGTGCAGTCTCGTATAGTTACGATAAAGATGGGCCATACTGCCACCAGCACTTCAGTGTACTAGAAACCAGCCTCTTTCACATTATTGTGGACTCTTTGCCTGGGTGTGAGAGATGCTTTGAAGATTACTTGGTATCTGGAGTTTTGGTCCTTTCTTTAGATTTTCAAAAGAAATAATTTAAGTATTTTAGTTCTCTTATAGGCAGGGCTCAGAATTTATAAACAGAAGGGGGTATTTCTCCACCGTGCTCAAAGAGCTGGTTGATTGCTGCAGCAGGTTTCTAAACCTAAATCAGGATCCCCTAGAAGGGTCCATGATGCTAGGATCTTTCAGAAAATTCAGCTTCCCTTGGAAGCCTGGTCCAGAGCTTAACTACCCTTACAGCTGCAAAGTTTTCCTTAATGTTACTAAATCTCCCTTGCTGCATATTAAGCCCCTTATTTCTTGTCCTATCTCAGTGCACCTGGAGAACAACTGATCACCATCCTCTTTATAAGAAGTCCTTAATATATTTGAATGTTGTTAATCAGGTCCC